ACGCGCGCGCGCGCGGCGTCGCGCGCAGGAAGCGGGCGGGGGGAGCGGTGGCGCGTGGGGCCCCGCCGCGAGGGGCTCCGCACAGGAAGTTGATGCAACAGGGCCGCGGGGGGGGCGGGGGGCGCGCGCAGGAAGCGGCGGCGGGAGGAGCGCGAGAGCGGCGGCCTCATCCCCCTGGATGATCATCCCCCTGGATGAGCCGCGGATGCGCCACGGCCCGGCCGTCCGGGCCAAGAGCCGCCCTCCTCCCCTCCCCTCCCCGCACCGCCGGCCCTGCCATGTTATTCGCAGGAATAGCGCACCCGCTCGCCGCGCGGCCGGGCAGGGAAGGAGGGTGTTCCCTCCCCCGCCTCGCCGTTCGCGCAGCGGGGTTGGCTTATTTATTTATTAACTTACTACTCCAGTGCCGGGCGATGCTGCCATTTGCTTTCGTGCGAGCGGCGCCGCATCAGTTTCCCTGGGTTTTTTTTTTTTTGTTTTTTTGGTTTTTTTTATCTCTCGTTCCTTTTCTAATTCCCCTCCCCAAAGAAAAAAAAAAAAAACACACACCAAAACAAGAGAACCAAAACCAAAAACCATGGCCAGTCAGAAACTTTCATAAGCAGGTTCAAAGCAAGGAAGTTGCACGCCATGGATTAAAAGGTTTCTGCGGTGCCCGTTGGCGTGAAAATCAAATAAACGGGACCTGGGGGCTCCTCGCCCCCAGGGGCGGTGCCGGGCCCGCCTGTGCCGGCGGCTCGGGGACCACCGTCCCCCCCGCTGCCAGCTTGGGCACGGTGAGCTGCGGGGGGCTGCCCGAACGCGAGCAGCTGACCTGTGCGGGGTCGGTCCTTATCTGCAATACACTGGCTTAAGTTACAGGCATGCTCCTGTGCGTCTCCGCCTTCTGAAAGTCTCCGAAGTCTCAGAAATACTTAAAAAACCCGGCCTTTATCTCGGAGCCACCATTGCTAAAGCAGTGGGACATATTCTGGACGCCGCGGACTTTGCGTGAGCTCTCACAAAAAGACCGGGTTTGATGCAATGCGAACTCCATTTTTTTTAAATAGCCTCTCTCATCACTTTATTTCTTCAGAATGCTCACAAGTTGTGAATAAAAGTAAGTGTTTGCATTATCTCTGCAGATGCTTCAGGAAGTCACGATGAACTCATTATTTTATTGTGAAACTAAATCCATAAAGCAGTCATGATGAGTAACTCGGGGACTTGTAATTGGGCAGTAACACACAGTTTTATCATCTGGAGGATTCTAGTGGGCTCAATGTGAGTGAGCGTTTACAGCAAGGTTTCCTCTCAACTGTAAAAAAATATTAGGCCATTGTTTATTTAGTTACTGTTATTTTCCCCGTTCTTTTCCATCAGGTGGTTGCCAATTCTCTGTGATTTAATTGTGAACTTTACAACATTTAGTGCCCTTCTTAAAGCTGTAGCTCCTGGACTCATACAATTATGCAAGAAATTCAGGTTGGTTTGTTTGTTTTTAAATGAAGTTTCTAGCCTGTGGGCTTGTGGATGTGACCTTAGAGACACAAACCTTAAAGGAACAAAAAGGAAAAGGTACAAAGCAAATAGAGTAATCCAAAAATGCCTCTTTTTTTAATGTCACTTTGTTTGGCTTTTTGAGACAATCTCTCCTACACCGTCTTTTTTTTTCTTTCTCTTTTTTTTTTTTTTCAAGCCGGGTATGATACTGAACAGCAGGGCTGATGAAGAACTAAAAAAAGAAAAACACAGAATATATCAGAGTGCTTGTGAAACAGTTACCAATAGGTACACAGTTCATGGAATAACAGGTAAGGAAGGGCACGTGGACAGGACTACCAAAAATCTAGCAGCCACTGCAGTAGATTTTTCATGTGTCCAACACTGTCAAGAAATGTATGGTTAGTATAATTAAGATATTACACAGTTTCTAATGAATATATATTTGCTTTTTATACTTCTTTCTACTTTACTTATACAGCTTTTGAACAGCTCAAGTAATCCTGGGACAAGGTGTATTACTGTCAGATCTGCTTGTAGTTTACTGTGATTTCTCCTGGGGCTGGAGCACCATCCAGCCACCTCCCTCCTCACCCCTCCAGTCTTGAGTCCATAACCAATTTTTAAACACTCTGAAAATCCCAGCCCCAAAACTCTGATTTTCCCCCCTCCATGTAAACTTTTACTACCAGCCCTTCAAGCTGTAGAGGCTGAGTGTTACAGTGAAGGCAGCCTGGATTTTGATTTTACCTTCAGTTAGAGTTTGAAGCAAGAAGGGGAGTCGGCTTACTCTGAAAACTATAAGACCAGAGTTGCTTTTTTCCTTCAGATTTTTTTGATAGACGCACCAGAGAAATAAATAACTGAGTAAAGCCAATGTATTTCACTGGTTTTTTCTCTTTCTGGTTAACAAGCAAGTTAAATGAAGCCAGAATGAGTGATTTAAGTGTTTTTAGAGATTTGGCATGTTTATTCTGCTGAGAAGTCAATACACACAGCCTAAAGTTTGTTTTGGAGATGAACTTTGGACAAAGTTCAAAGGAAAAATAATCATTAGCTGTTACTGTAGATGCACACAGAAATTTTTCATGGTTTGTCTTAGAAGTCAAACCCTAATGGGTACTCATACACTGCCCACAGTAATCTTTGGGTCACAGCCAGGTAGAGTGGCTCAGATCATTTGCACAGAATCATAGAATGCTTTGGGTTGAAAGGGACCTTAAAGGTTGTCTAGTTCCAACACCCCTACCAAGGGCAGGTACACATTCTGCAAGACCAGGTTGCTCAGAACACCATTCAACCTGGCCTTGAACACTTCCAGGGATGGAGCATCCACAGCCTCTTTGGGCAACCTGTTTCAGTGCCTCACCACCCTCACAGTGAAGAATCTCTTGGTAACATTTAATTGAAATCTACTGTCTTTCAGATTAAAGCCATTCCCCCTTGTCCTATCACTAGATGCCTTGTCAGAAGTCCCTCTCCAGCTTTCTTGTAGATCCCTTTTAGGTACTGGAGAACTGCTATAAGGTCTCCTCAGAGGTTGAACAGCCCCAATTCTCTCAGCCCATATTCACATGGGAAATGCTCAAGCCCTCTGATCATCTTCGTGGCCCTCCTCTGGTCTTGCTCCAGCAGGTCCGTGTCATTCTTATACTGGGTGGGGACCACAGAATTGGACAAAGCACCCCAGTTTCTCATAAGGTCTCCGGAGAGCAGAGTAGAGAGGGAGAATCACCTCACTCAACCTGCTGGCCACAGTGTTTTGATGCAGCTCAGGATGTGACCCTGCACATTGCTGGGTCATGTTGGACTTCTCGTCAACCAAACTGAACTCAGCAGTTTAAACCACCTGATTATCACAGACATGCTGAAAGTTTTTCCTTTAAAAGCAGTGCACATACACTACTCCTTTGTTCAGACTTGCAATGCTGAAGAGAAATGGTTCCTGCCTTTGTGCTACTTAACTTCACTTCCACGTCAGCAAAAAGGGCCACTACAGGTGTATGTGAAGCATTCACCTTCTTGTAGCATTAGAAGTGGTTTCATGTACGAAATGGAAAGGAATGATACCATCAAATGCACAGCCAAATGCTTGAATAAACTGGCTGGATTTGTTCGTTGGCTTCGTACAGAGATATCTAGCATGATTTCCTTGCAGTGAAAAGAAATCTTGCTAGAAACCTAGCAAAAAAATTCCCTTCTTTGCTTGTTGAGTCTTTGTGCACAAAGTTGACCAATGCACTTCTGCCTCCAAATGTGATACTGCTCATCAAAAGTCATAGTTTGGTTTGTCCAGATTTTGCACTTTCTGCTTGATCACATCATCCTGGATGCTCGTCCAGTCCTCTTTGCCAAGTTTGTTTCCTAAGAGCACTTAGAAGTACAAGGCTAATCCAAAGTAATTTCAAAGTTAGTGTAAAACTCAGAAAAATCGACAGGATTTGATGAGAACTTGTAAGGAGCTGCTAAATGGTATTTCTCATTGAATGTTATTTCACCAGTTTTGAAGAATTTCAGAGAAAGAAGCAGAGTACATGTAAAGTATTAATGCAGGGGCACCTCAAGAGTAATAGTCATTGCTAACAATTATTGTACTAAGTGTTCAAAATAACAAGTTACATCATAACGTGCTAGCTTTGCTGTAGCCATCCCATCTTGCAGTGCTGTTTGTTGAGAATACTTGGGACAAAGTCTGAGAAGACATTAGTTAACATGCAGAAACAGTCTTGTAGCAGCTCTTGTTAAAAGGAATTAGCAGCAAATGCTCTGGCTCCTAACATACAGGTCACAGATTAGGTTGACAGTAGAGTAGCCACATAGCATTTTCTCTTCCCCTGGTTTTCAGCAACAAAACTACCTTAAAAACTAAGCTAAGAGTTAGTTACTTGCCTATTGCTGTTTTTCACTGTGCTTTTGGCAGGAATACTAGATGGCTGCAAGTAAGAGAGGAGATAGCCTGTGCAGCCGTGCTTAAAAGAAAAAGCCATAAGACCATTTCAGGCAAGACGTACCCCAGCCTAAGAAAACAGTCGGCAATCTCTATTTTTCTCATCAGTGTTTGAACACAGGGTTATCTCTCCAGCAGGATCCAGGCAAGGAGCTCCTTCTACAAGCAAATATCTTCCCCTTCTCAGGGTCAGGGAAGGATAGGGCATCACTCACTTCCAGATGATAAGGAAAATTAAGCAGACTGTTTAGACCACCAGTTGGGGCTAGAGCCTGAAAACATGGCTCACATGAGGCATTGACCATTAAGGATATCAGCCTAAGTGGAAATTGCATTGCTTAACACAACCACCTCTGACTTCAACCATGGATTATTGCCTTACACGGGAGCTATTGCTTACAGCAGCCAATAAAGCAGACCCCTGCTTACCCCGTTTCATCCCAAAACGACTTGCTTACTCATCACCTGTCAGTCGGTCCAGGCAGCAGCAGTGCAGCCACAAATCTCACTTTTCTGATGTTCTGCCTGGGAGGCAGATAGGATGAGCTAAAAACGGTCGTAAGGAGTGCATTGGCTGGGACCTATATTCCAGGAAAAGTAATTCAACATTCAGGCTGCCCTGTTCCTTTTGCAAAATTCATGTTCTCCAGGCTACCCCCGGCAGCTGAGCCAGGGAAGGCCTGTCAGCACAGCATAGTGTTATGTCTGTAGTGGGATTTCACTGGGGATGCAAGCTCTTCTGAGGTTGGCCTTGAAAGGATAACTCCATCCTGCCATCTCTTCCCCTGATCATTACTGTTTTGGTTACCTGAGATATCCATTATTTCATACAGAAAGTAGAGAACTGTAGCTCAGAGCCTGGCCTGCTGCACCCAGAGAGTGGAGGGCACCTGTGAGGACCCACCACTTGCCAACAGCTCCCAAAGCTCTTCTTCCTTGGTTTCCCTCTTAGGCTTTCAGTCTTGTTAAGGTTTCAGTATGTAAAGTCAGAAAGGTTGTAATCTCTTTATCTAATCTGACCTTTAGGAAAATGCTGGATATTTCAACCACTACTTCTGTATCAGATCTGAAATTACAGGAGGCCAGAAGGTATTTTACCCTTCATAAGCCATTGCTTTCTGCTTCTGGAAGGTGCATCTGCTTTCAGAGAGGCTGGTGGTCTGGCTGCTTCCATATTGAAGGAAGATCTGAGCAGCAATCCTGTGTCTGGGAGTCAAGAGGAATGGGTTTCCTTGCCTTTTTTATCTTTTCTCTTTAAGTAGAAGTGAGCAGTCATAAAGGGGACATTGCTCATGGCTCTCAGGTGGCTGGCCAGGCTGACTAAGCATGCTTATGGATCCTGTACACTGTTTAGAATCACAATGAACTAGAGATTGTGTGCCAAGATGCAAATGGTCCAGGCAACAGTTTCTCATTTTTAAGCCAGCAGTATGAAGTATCCTAGGAGCAATTGCAGTTCCGTTATCAGGTAAACTCTTTTTGACTCGTTGTCCTTTTTGTTAAACAACAGAATGCCCCCTAATTCAGGCTGATTTGTTGTAATGTTGGTCACCCTGCTAAATTTTTCAGCCGGAGATTATTGGACTACTAGTGATTAGTCTCCATCAAAATACCCTTTTCCAGATCCTTCAGAAGAATTCTCCTATCTTTGAAGAACTTGGAGAGGAAAAATGTAATAGAACTGGAAAGCTATGAATGGAAATGAAACCACTGAGTATGTTTTCAAGGACCCGCTGAAAGGAATTTGCAACTTTTGTAATGGAGCATATCAGTGTGTCACTAGCCTGATAAGCAAATAGAAAGGCAGAGTGGTAAACCAAAGGCATGAGCCACAGACCATGACAGCAACTACCAGGTTGTAATGCAGACATATAGATATCACAACAGGTAGGCCTCCCACATGCATAGAAATCAGACATTCTGACAAACAGCATAAAAAAAAAAAGTGCATTTCTGTAAAAAATTAAACACCAGTAGAAGGGGTGTCATGTCTGTTTAGTCTTTTCAGATGTTAGTGGTCATTTTGGCACCTTAAGGAGGGACATGATAAACAGAGAAGAGAGGCAAGGAGCCTAAAGAAAACTACAGGATGATGATAATTGCAAGATGTTAAGTACTTCAAATATAAATACTGATTGTGGTTTTCAAAAATATTTCTGTAAATTTGTCCCCTAAACCCTTCTATATCGCTAGATACATTAAAAAGCCTGTAGTTTGAGTGGATGGAGCATCTAAGAAGCAATTCAGTTCTCTAAGTATTTAACTAGACATATATTTGAGCTGCCAGTTTGGGACTACCAGCTGAGCATCATTTTGTCCTATAGAGTAATGTAGCAAGAAGAGTATCAATGTTTGAACACAGTAAAGAAGTAGTAAGTTTTGGGAAGTATTAAACTACTGGAATCCTGTGTATTTATTACATGTTGTCTTGACTTTACTGTGCTGAAAAGTAGCTCAGCATAGGCACAAGGACAAGGGAGGGAAGAAGAGCTGTGAAATAAGTGTTATGGAGGGATGAGGAAGGGGAAACCTAGGAGCAGAGCTCTGCCTGGCTTTGCATGCAAGAATAAGAGTTAAAAATGACTCAGTGGACAGAAAGGTCAATGCTAGTGCAAATGTGCAGAGTGAGTTTTCACGGCCCAGCAATAAGTAGCGTTAGTCATCTCTGGGATTAAATGTATTGTGGGTAAAGATCCCCCTGAGATGACTGATGCTGAACTAGCATGGGCTCGCTCACACACCACCACGCCACACAGTCTTGCATCTTCTCAAGAGCTGTGGCCCCCTGCGCTTCACAGCCTCTGGAGTCACCAGTCCTTCCTGATGGCGTGACACCTTCTTCTCCAAGCTTCCCTGATGGGTCTGGCTATTTCTGGGTTTCTGCTTTGGCTGTGTTATCTTATCTTGCTGCTTTCTGGGATAATCCAGAGTTTAATGTGGCTGAGTTTTGAACTGAGTGAGAAGGGGAAAAATAAAGATCAAAAAAAGAGTCAATAAACCTGATGGACAGGGAAGACGTCTGCACAGCGAGACATTGCCCTTTTTATTTAGTCATGTCTTACAATACAGCTACCACATCATAAATTCAGAGACACATGTTTGGAGAGAGAGGTCCTCACGGATATTTTATTTATAATTGATTTTAATATCTTCCACTCAATTCTTCTGTTGTTTGAGTGATAGGCAAGTTGCAAAATATATCACTCAAGAGTTAGGGAATTAGGCAATTAAACCTGTTTGTGTGTTCTTTGTGTTCAAAATTGATTAATAACGGTAAAATACACCAACATCATGCTTTTCAGCTAAAAGACAGTTAGATAATGTCAATATATTCACAAATCTCATTGGCATTGCTTCCCTATACGAACAGTACATGTAAGTATAAATGTATTTTTCTCTCATAAGGAGGGACAGAACGAAAACACTGTTGCTTTCAAAACTCCTATTAGACATTCAGATGGAAATAATAGAATCAGAGAATATCCTGAGTTGGAACTGGCCCATAAAGATCACTGAGTCCAACTCCTGATCCTGCACAGAACAGCCCCAAGAGTCACACCATGTGCCTGAATGTGTTGTCCAAACACTTCTTGAACTCTGACAGGCCTGGTGCTGTGACCACTTCCCTGGGAAGCCTGTTCCAGTGCCCAACCACCCTCTTGGTGAAAAACCTTTGCTTAATATTCAACCTAGACCTCCCCTGAAACAACTTCAGGCCATTCCCTTGGGTCTTGTCACTGGTCACCAGAGAGAAATCAGTGTCTGTCCCTCCATTACCCCTGTGAGGAAGCTGCAGACTGCAATGAGGTCTCCCCTCAGTCTTCTCCAGGATGAACAAGGCAAGGGATCTCAGCTGCTCCTCATGTGGCTTCCTCTCAAGGCCCTTCACCATCTTTGTTGCTCTTATTTGGATGCTTTCTAACAGTTTAATATCTTTCTTATATTGTAGTGCCCCAAATTATTCACAATATTCAAGGTGAGGCTGCACCAGTGCAGAGCAGAGCAAGACAATCACCTCCCTTGACTGGCTGCTGATGCTTTGCCTGATGCCCCCCAGGACATGGTTGGCCCTCCTGGCTGCCAGGGCATTGCTGACTCGTATTCAACTTACCATCAACTGGGACCCCAAGGTCCCTTTCCATGGCACCACTCTTCGGAGTCTGTACATACATCCAGGGTTGCCCTGTCCCAGGCACAAAATCCAGCACTTGCCCTTGTTAAACTTCATATGGTTGGTGATTGCCCAGTCCTCTGATTTTTGACGTCTCTCTGCAGGGTCTCCCTGCCTCTGAGGAAGTCAACTCCTCCTCCCTATTTAGTGTCATTGGCAAACTAGCTCAGTATTCCTTCCAGTCCCGCATCCAAGTTGTTTCTGAAGATGTTGAAGAGCACAGGGCCTAAGATGGAGCCCTGTGGAACCCCACTAGTGACAGGTCACCAGTCTGATGTTACCCCATTCACTATCACCCTCTGTGCTCAACCTGTGAGCCACTTGCTCACCCATTGTTTATCCAGGTGTGGGCTGGACACTTTGTCCAGAAGGATCCTGTGAGAGACAGTATCGAAAGCTTTACTGAAATTCAGAAAGATTACATCAACTGTCTTCCCTTGATCAACTAGGTGGGTTAATGTATTATAAAAGGAAGCTAAGTCTGACAAGCAGGACTTTCCCGTCATGAACCCATGCTGACTGTGACCAATGACTGCATTGTCCTTCAGATATTCTTCAGTAATTTCCAGAATAATCATGACATATGATTGTACCATGATTGTCATGTCATGACATGACATAATTTGACTAGATTCTTTCTCAGCAGACTTGGAAACACCATATTGAATTTGAATAAAAGTCTAGGATAGTTTGAAAACATTGCAAAGTTCTAGGTCATCTTACTCTCCATGGGGCTTCTGAAAGCATCTACTCGTGCTTGCCATCAGCCAGGTAGTTAAATAAGGAGCTGGAAGTTATCCGAAGTCTATAAATGTCAATGAAAATTTGTATTCTGCCTATTTATGAAGTCATTATGTGCCCACCCCCTCAGAGCAAGCCAAAGGATGTTGTTTCAAAAAAGACAGAATTAGTAAGGCAACAGAAGGAATAGGGAATAACTTTCACCTTGAGAAAAAAAACCAACACAGGAACTAAGACTTTTCAGATAAAATAAGATAAAACTGAGAGGGAACATAAGAGGCCTGCTAGAGGGAGAGCAGCATGGAGAAGGAAAATAGGGAGCGATCATTCACCATTCCTCAAGTTGTAAGAGTAAGTGGCACTGAGTGAAACAATTAGACAATTTTTTAAACAAACGAAAAGCAATACTTTTTTGTTCAATGCATAATCACATTTGGAACTCATTGGTGCAAGATTTCATGGATCCTGAAAGTATAAATGTGTTCAGAAAAGCATGAAACAAATCTACTGAAGGATGCAACATCTGACTCAGCAAGCACTTTTACCACTGATTGCCAGAGGCTCATAAGGGGGAAGATCCTTCTGGATACATCCCATTTCTTACGGTCCTCCTTAAATACTCAAGTTGGGACATTATGAGAGAAAGCCTTCTATAGAGGATGCACCTTTGGTCTCTTTCAGTATTGTCACTTTTATGAGTTCAGGAATAAAGGAAGCAGTAATATTTTGGTGGAGGAGAACAAAATCAGTGGAAGAGGCTTCTCTATTCATGTATGCCAATATTATACAGACTTTGCTCTTCACTTGAATAAAGTAAAACTTCTTGTACTGTGGGTTGGGATTTTTTTCTTCTGAGAATGAAAACAGGCCTTACATTGTCATTCATATCACATTTTTGGGAATGAGAGGCAGTTTATCTTTTAATAAAAACATACTGTTCAAACAGGAATCACATAAGGGGGCTGTTTGAAAGCTGTGGAGGAAATGGACTGCATGTCCCTACTGAAGCAAAACGGGATCCTTGATCAGCACCGCTTGAAGTACTGTTTGCGTGCAGCCCATGCCAGGCAGGAGCCAGCCTGGAGACTGCCTGGTGTGCCAGGGCCTCGTGTGGCTCTGCTGGGCCCCTGTGGTGGGTTTGCAGCTGTACCAGCTAGCCTCTTCCCTGGAGACATGGAAACCAGGGCCAACCCACACTGCAGCTTCCACTAGGGGCCACTGCTACATAGAGGAAGAGGAGGAAAAAGAGGAGGAGGAAGAGGAAGAGGAGAGGGAAGAGTTCAGAAAGCATCACAGTCTTGAGGTTTTATTTTCAGGCACGAGGACATCTGTCTGTAAATAGGTTGGTGAATGTATATGAAGTATCACTGATCCTGTTGAGGCGCACAAGAGAAAAGGGATGGCCACTGGGAGCTGGGCTGGTTTGCTTCCACCTTGGATGTTACTGGCAGGCACTGAAAAGTCACTCCTCTTTCCAAACCCTTCTCCATGAACCATGTAAACTTAGATAAGCAGCAGATCTCTCATTCCTGAGGGGACATCCAAAGGTGGAGAGGTGAAATGGCCTATGTGACAGCATTTCAGAGAGGAAGCAACGCATGTTATAACAACTAGGTTCTATTTACAAATATCTATATGAAATTTGAAGCCTCCAGTTTGAAAAAGAAAGAAAGGCTTATGTGCCTAAAAGCTTGTTTGTGTTTTCCAGCAATATTAGTCGATTTCATAGTATCTGTATTACCTTCAAAACCTGCCCTTCTTTATCCCTAGACCATGGCAACAACTGCACTACTAAATATAATACCAAGACTTGGCAAAAGGTATTTTTAACTCTCTAGTTTCAAATGAACCATGTCTTCCCCCATGTGCATGGAATGCTCACTGCTTTCTAGGGCTTCAGTTATGAGCAAAACTGAACTTACAGGGCCAGAGAGTAATTATATGAATGGATACTTCTGTGGAATTCACTCAAAAGTTTAAAATTCTTTTGGGAATGCCTCCTGGCAGAGGTGAGAAGACTGGATATTAATCTTGATGGCTAAAATGAGAGACCTCAAATTCTACATGCCCTCATGGAGAAGAAATGCCTCCTCTATAGATTTAGAGAGATATTCAAGAAAAATGTCAAAATACTTAAGACCATTTCCAGCCCACACCACCCTTCAGCAATTCTACTTTCAACCAGAACTGAAAGAAATTAATTATTCCCTAGAAACAAATGTTTTTCTGCTATTTGTGAAGTGCTAAGGGATAGGAAGTTAGACCCCTTCTACTGTAGAGTCCTTAGAGGGGATCAAATAGCTTGTGTTTATTTATCTTGACTAGCATACCGGCTGTCAGTGGATTATCTCCTTCTGTCATCAAGATGGCTCCTTTTCACCATCAGGCAGCTGCAGAAGCAGCAGAGATTTTTTTTTCTGATTTTTGGCTTGTCAGTTCATTGTGTCTCTCCCTTTAGTTTGGTGGAGTGAACTGCTTGATGGGGAATCTGCCTCTGAGGCCAGTCTGTCCTGCTCCTCTGCTGTGCCTCTGAAATATTTAGAGGTTCCTTCTTTGTTTCAGTGGTGAGGCTAAAATGTTGTGATTAGATAGATAAACAATAGTGTCATTTTGCATCCTCTGCCTCAAAATACAGCTGCCCCATAGATGTGCTTTGAAATGATACAGACATAGAAGCTTGTGGTGGGAAGGGGGGATTCTCCACTGCAAGGTGGGATTGTCCTAGATGAACAATGCTTGCCACAGTATCAACATCTGATTCAGATAAGAATCACAGATTTTTTGGCACTGTACTCATTGTTTGGCACAGTCAAGGAAAAGACTGACTATTTCTGCCCCTGGAAACACAATATACAGCACCAGCATTAACAAACTCAAGCCCTTAGCTCAGTCTGAAACTGCACGCAGTGAGTGAAGACACCTGTCTTTCTTCTACTGCCACCCCAAACCCTGAGATTAACATCTGCAGGGTGGTTATGCCTGTGCCCAGCACAGAGCATGCAGCTTTAGGATTATTCAGATA